AGCAAGCTGCACTCCATCAGTCATTTTTACAGCTTTGTGTAAGACTCTGCAGAGCCATTCGTTTTACAGATTTGTGTTATTGACCTTACAGCCATTGATTCGCTCCACATTCTACTACTACATGATAAACTTCCTGATGTGCCCTGCTAGAGAGAAATGAGGCATGATTTTCAACATGCTGTTTCAACATATACTTTTATGGCAATTTGTATCTGTTTTACATTTTGGTAAATTGGTTGCCAAATTTAGGGTATGTTTATACAACAACACTGTACTAAATCCTTCGCATTTCTGAAAAGTTTCGCATACAGAGGAAAATGTTCACACAGAATACATGGATCCTCAAAAACATTTGTAAATGCCCTCTTTTATAAATTTGTACAGTCTTATTTATATGTTTTTCTGTTTATGGCCCACTGATGGTTCATATGAAATCACCACCATTGTAAAATGGTATCGGTTTAGTGTTTGGGAACACTTTTGTTAAACTCTCATGAAAGAGTTTCCTTTCATGATATTTTGAGATATTTTGACAATGTATATGCATCAACATATATATGAAAAATATAGTGTGTTTCTTTATCTATAAGCACTTTCAGTCTTTTGTGGACTTTTAAAAATGAAAAAAAAAAAAACTTTTAATTTCTGTCATAATTTGTGTAAAAATTGATAGAAATTCTAATAAGATTTCTAAAATAATTTTAATAAAAATATCTATCTATCTATCTATCTATCTATCTATCTGTTTTACAAAAAAAAGTGAAATATGTTTATATCCCTGGACATAAAAATGCAAACAGAAACACCCATATTCACCCATACACTTTGTGCTAACTTGGTGACGGCTGTAATGTGCATTTTTTTCCGAGCAAGAAAAAGTTCAAGGCCATAATAACGTTCAGTGACAGCAAGAAGCAGAAGTATAGTTATTTGCTTGTGTTTGAATGGTCTGAAGCCTCATGATGACCACAGCCGCTTCAGTATGTTTTATGACTCGTTTGCTCTAGTAAAAACTCCTAATCACAGCAATCATCCCCACGTGCAGGGATGTTTTGGCAGAGTCTTTTGTGCACCACTTGAGAGCCTTTCATCCTTTCTTTAACTTAACACACACAGCCTGTTCTTCCAGTGGATCTGTCACAACCGATACAAGTCCAAAACTCACACCAGAATATTCACTGTGATAGTTCCGTTTATGTTTTTGTATAATAATGATGCCAGTGACTTAGTAAATTCACCACTTAATTTTGAGTTAAAATATGTTGTTGTAACTTGCGTTACTGAGATTGTAACGAGTAATAATATTACCCAAATTGTATTAGTAATGCGTTATATTACTGCGTTACAGCAAAAAGTAATATACTACTGTAATATTATTACTTTTGTAATGCGTTACTCCCAACACTGGTGACTGCTAATGTTAAACTTAATGATAATAGCCATCAACCATTTGTATCCAATATACAATATTGTTTTTTGTGCTTTATTATGTCCCAATAACAGAATAAGAGATTAAACAAGTTAACATTTAAACATAAAACCGGTAGTGTGATTTGGGGGCAAGATTATTTGTTGCTCCAACCAATGGAAGACGGGGGATTGTTCTGCCAAACTTTTTTGAAAACATTATTTTTGCGATCCATTGAGGATTATTTTGGATGGATGGATGGATGGATGGATGGATAGATAGATAGATAGATAGATAGATAGATAGATAGATAGGTAGGTAGATAGATAGATAGATAGATAGATAGATAGCATACAGTAATAGTCAGTACAACAGAAGTGAACTGAAAAATATGACAAAATAACAGTCCATGATTTTAACTGACAGTGAGAAACTCAAATAAAATTATATTTTTAATGATCATGTCTGCTCTTTTATTATGTCATATAACATGTTATATGTTATAACATGTCTGCTTATTACTTAAATTCCTATATTCAAACAGCAAAGCCATAAAAACAGTGTTTTTTTCAGTTCTCTAGCCAATGGCACAGCAGATGTACTTTTGACTTTCTCTGTTGGAGCCCATCTCTCAATACTGAAGCCGTCTAATGAAGGAGCTCCTGAATCCTGCAGGCATATTACTCATAACCTCACTCCCAATATAAATCACTGGAAAACTACATGCTTACAGCCATGACGACTTTATGTCAGATATATGACTGGAGTCAAAGACATGCCAACACTCTGATATCAGGGACAGCATCTTGTTACACAGAAGGAGGTGCCTCTCAGCTTTATGATTGCCTTTATTGCCATTACTTCCAAGTTTAGTCAGTTAGTATTATGTGGTCTTTGTGTTTCTTTCAGAATATTAATAGAAATTTCACTCAATTAAAGGAATTTGCAGTAAACAGAAAAGTAATAGGTTACTCATTATTGCTAGTGTAAATGTTTTTGTTTTTATAGAGTAATAATATATTTTAAATGATTTTTACATTGTATTTGCTTTATAGTATAGTATAGTATAAAAATAAATATTTTAATAGTAATATTATATTTTATAATAATTTAAAAAATATATTCTGACCAGTCTGGCACAGCAACACTAACTCTACCAATGGTGTGAGTCTGGGGTGGGGCTACATGTTTTTAGACCAATGGCAAGCAGGGGGAGTGGCTTTGAAAAATCCTGTTCAGAAACAGTCGTTCTTTTTGCAGTTCCATTCGTAACGGACTGTTTTATAAGATTTTCCAAATCAGATTGGATTCTGGACTGTAACTCTTGTATTGTGTGGATACTCAAGCAAGTTTTCCCTCGGTTATCTCTCCAAACATGAGAAATTATGTTCGCTGTGCAGAAATGTCCCCATGCAAGAGCACACATGGAGAATAATAGAACACATAGGTGAACCTGCAAGTTCAGCCAGAATACACAAGACATTCTCTGTAGCAGATGTGTGGAGAAAGAAATAGCCGGTACTATTGTCCTTATACTGTAAGTGCAGGTCAGTTGTTGTTAGCTCGCTAAGGATGAACTGGGATCCAAAAGCATGACACTTACACAAAAAACTGCAAAAGGAGATGTACTGAAAGCTGGCAGTTTAAGGTTACATAGGAATCAGTAACTTAAATAACAGAAATGGCAAAAACAATGTACCCTAGTAAAAAAGCAATATATTTAAAATACATTTATTTCATACTAAGTATAGTTAAAATCTATTAACATATTTACTGACATATGGCCCGAGACTTACTGATATAAAAATTCTAATTAAACTTTACTTGTGCACAATACACATTTCTTAATATTAAAGGAGCACGCTGCGTAATATTATTGCGCCTGCTGCACCCATGGTACGGCAGCAAAGTTCCCTTGATTATTACACCGGAATGAAAGTATAGTTCCTTAGTACACACTTCACTCGTACAAATTCATAAGATTTTTGCTAAATCGTACGTATTTTACGAGTTGCACAATTCGTATGAATTTGTACGAATGACCTACACCTAATCCCGCCACTAAACCTACCCATCACTGGGGTCTAGACAAATCGTACAAAATCAAACGAGTGAGGTTGTACGAATTCATACAAATTAGCCACCTCGTAAAATATGTACGAATTGGTCATGAGATAGTGTTGAGATTGTATGATCTTAGAAAAATATCGGTCTTTAAATGCAAGATATTCTTGCCGATTTACTTGCTGTTCCATAACGTATATATTAACTTATAATATTAATGCTACATTACTAGATTTAAGTCACAGAGATGTTCATTGCTCACAGATCTTTTCACTAATATTGCTGTAGAATGAAAAGGTTCTTTGGATGTTTGCAAAATGTATGAGAACAAAGTAAGGATTAATTGCTATAATTAAATTAATTTATTTATTTATAAGTGTTATTTTAGTATCATTAAGATACGCATAGGTTTTATTTTAATTTTTATATTTTCCATTTTCATTTTAGTTAAAGGTTTAGAAATTTAGTTGTGTTTTGTCATTTTTATCAATTTAAAATTTTTTAAATTAATTTTTCATTTCAGCTTTAGTAAACTGATGCACTATATTAAGGTTTTTATTTAATTTCTATTAACATTTATTTCTAGTAACAGAAATTTTTATTTTTGATTTTACTTTAAGTGGATAAATTGAATCAGTATTTAGTGTGAATTTAGCAGCTTTCACACCAGTGCAAATAATGGACAGCTTTAAACTGGATGATAGTGTGTCACATTCAGTTTAAAGAGTGTATATGCTATCTAAAACAATTTGCCAGACTTGACAAGGTTATCCTCCCAATGAAGTCTGGGGGTTCGGATTGTTTTTATTAAGGAGCAAAGCTTTATTTTTTCAGGCATAAAGACATCCATATGTCTTTATGTAAAGGCATGCATGCTGCTACAAAATCCCCTATGTCAACATATGTGTTTCTTTAACTCTACACTGTTAGTTTTTACATTCACTTCATGTCATTTTTGACATGCTATGTATCTGGAAACAAGAACATAAAGGGATTAACGTTGTTAGCTCGTACTAAAGTCAAGATGAATAGCAAATTGACAGCAGAATGTGTGGAGACTGAGAATCAGTCACTTCAAAAGTGACTTTGTACTTGGATACAAATGATTGGTGATGCCTGTTAACATTAAGCTCATCATTAGCAGTCACTGCCATCATATTCATGAATTATATGATGAGAATGATTGCTAATGATGAGCTTAAAAGTCACAGTGCAATGTCTCAGCACAGTTCATACTGTTGTTCAATATTTATATGATTCATCAACTGAAATAGCTGCACCGCAGATAAAAAAATGAACAGACAGGTCACAGTTTTTTGGAGATAAACAGTAAAATCACAAGTAGAGGTGCTATAAACAGAAAATATTTTATTTTATTTTTTAACTCCACTGAGGCTTATTTCAATGTGATGATTTGAATTTCTATGATTAAAAAGGCCTATTTAAAAAGAAAGAAGAAATAAAAAAATGTAGATGTGAACAAATTCATAAAAAATGAACAGAAAATTCGAAACAGATGGAAAGTTACAAGCCGCATAATTTAAAGTAAACTCAACAGCCAAAGATTTGCTGATCCTTACAGATAAAAACGCATTCATGTCTCTGAATGCAAGCACCACAAAATATCATGTGCACGACAAGCTCAATGACAGGCTCATACAGTATATATATATTCAAAGAAACAATATAAACAGCTTAAAAAACAAACAAACAAAAATGACCAATGTCTCTCTTTATAACCACCACCATTTCAAGTAGCCCTTATCTGAGTTGAAGTGGGGTGTGTGCCACGTAGATCCAAGATATTACTGCATTGGTTTGTAATGTGTAAACATTCAATGCGGTTTGAAGTAACAGTGTATTTGCAGGACAAACACACTGTTCTACAACACTGTCTTTCACTTTGGATCTTCAGGTAGAGTGAGCCTCATTCATCTCACTGTCTGGGTCTGGAGTGATGCCTCACTCTCCGCCTTGATCCTGTGTTTTAGTCCACAAACACACACATATAAACAAAGCTGTTCTAGACATTTATGGTTCATTTTCCTGTTTGTATTATGAAGGTATGGATTATGGTAAAATTGGGTATTAGAACAAAAAGATGCTATACTAAAATGTGTACTGTAAGCAAAAAAATAAATAGCAAAAAAAAAAAAAAGCTGAAACACATACCTTGTGGTTGTCTGATGGCAGCTCGTTTTTTATAACGGCCCTCTGAGGAGAAAAATAATTCAATTAAACCTTGGGCATTAGATCCGTCCTCATATTATTCACACAGTTGTGAAATCACTAACCCTTGATGATTCTGGTGATTCTCTCTGATTCTGTTTCAAGGAGGTCTGGAGTGTCCTTGAAAGATACAATCTTTGAAAAATCTGGTCCTAAAAGAATAATAAATAATAATAATAATAATAATTAATCATGTATGCATATTATATATAATATTAAATCAGATACTATGATTTTTATAATTATAATTAATGTAACTGAAGCCAGTTACTACACTCTAAAAAATGCTGGTTTATTTTTGTAACCCAAATGCTGGGTTCAGCCTGTTGGGTCAATTTATTGGGTTGTTTTTAATATTTTTTACCCAGGTGCAGTTTTTTTTTTTTTTTTTTTTACCCAAATGCTGGGTTCAGCCTGTTGGGTCAATTTATTGGGTTATTTTTAAATATTTTTTTACCCAGGTGCTGGGTAGTTTTTCTGTAACTAAGTTGCTGGGTCATTTTTAATGCTGGGTTATTTTTTCTACCCAACCGCTGGGTTGAGCCTGTCTCCGAACAAACTACCCAGAGTTACAGTCAGAGCTCGGGCTTTTTGCGTCCTACAGAAGAGAGTGGTTCTCAGCACCGCCGCCGATTTGGGGCACTATATATATATACAGTATATATATTTAAACACTAAAATGAAACACTAAAATTTGTAATATCAGAAGTGTAATATAATTTCTTACCTTCAATTATCTGCGGTTCTGGTCGAACTACTCTGGTAACAGTGGTTTCCGCATCTGGTGCACCTTTGAATACAAAAAGATGAATATTTGATTTGGTTTGAAAATTTAAACTGCATCTTACCACTGTTTGATATTTTGTGTCTCACCTTTAATGATCTGAGGGTCTTTCTTAATTACTCTAGTAAATGTGGTGAGCCCTGGTTCAGCTTCAAGCAAAAACAGAAGTCAATGACAAACATCTGAGCAAAACGTAACTCACATCATATCATCATTTGATTTATTAGGCCTTACTTTCAACAACCTGGACCCCTGGTTTGATTACTCTAGTTATGGTGGTGATCCCTGGTCCACCTTTGAGAACAAGAAGACATGAGAACAGTGGATGCACAAACATCTGGGTGAAAGTCAGACCAACCATGAGCCAAATCAGTGAGTAATAGTCAATAATGAAAGCCTTAATCTTACTTTAGCTGTACTGCTTAAAGGTTCTAAAACTGATTCTTTCTTTTAGCTGAATCATAAGTGCGATCTTGCCAAGAATGAATCAAAACCATAGAGTATGGAGTTAAATCAAGAACATCTGGAGTAGAGCCATGTGTATGAGCCATGGGAAAACCAATGGGGCTTTATTCTGTTACGTAACTAGAGATTGTAATCCATGGGCATAAAATTAGACAGATAAACAAACATTAAACAATACTAAACGAGGATGAACCACCGCGTTCACAGCTGCTCTCAATAAAAATGTCAAGCTCTTTAGGAAGCTACAAAAGAGTCTTACAGATCCCAAAGCCCTTCAAAATCATAAATCACATTGATTCAGTGGCATAAAAAAAAACAATACGGGAAAGAACATGATTATTGCATATGCCAAGGATTATGGGTAAAAGTGTTTGGCAGAAGAGAAAGACATATCTGAAGAAGTTGTGCTAAAGGGGAAGATTTAAGAACAGTCTCTTTTTTCAAATGTAAATGGCTCACCGATTCAGTGTCATTGAGTTTGATCACCCTTTTTATACAATTATATACATACACAAATTGTATCCAATTGAAAATGTTCTTTTCATTAACTGAAATAAAGCTGAAATCAAATAAACTACAAATGAATTAGATGAAACTTCAATTCGAAAAGCTAAACTAAAATAGAAAAGCACATAACAAAATCACTAAAACTTAAACTAAATTCAAATTAATTTAATTAATTTAAAAAATACTTTACTAATATATAAATTATATTAAAATAACACTAAAAAGAGTCTACAATGCAGTTAATGTCAGAGAAAGGGCAACTTTTATCATTTCAGCAACAATATCAGCTTAAATATAGCCATTTATTATTAATATGTCAACCATAACTCATACACAACTCTCTTGGACTAACCTCCCCGAGTGATCGCATCAGTGATTTGTTTGATATCTTCGTCCTGGAGGATGTCTACGTCACCACGCTGAAACCTCTGCACCTTGGTTACATCTACAACACATGGACACACAATGTTTTAATGTTTTATCAGACAGAATATCAAAAACTACTTTGTTTTCAGCCATTCTGAAACAAACTAAACTGTTAAAGTATTGGTAACTTGTCTATTTTCTTTTGAGAACAGACTTTTTGTGTCTCTTTTTTTAATCCAGTTCTTACTGCACAAGAATCAGTTTTCAAATGTTTGATAAAAACCAACTGGACATTTTAACCCTAATGTACTATACAACGTAACTACGAGCCTACACAATCAAATAAAGCTGTTAAAATTAATGACCTTCGCCCATGATTCTCTTGATTTCTCCCTCAGCGTCAATTTCACCATCAGATGAGGCACTGTGAGCTGAGGGAAAAAAAAAAAAAAAATGACAAAAAAAAACAGTGGTTTGTTATTTTCAAATTAACGATGCTACATAAAGGAATAGTTCGTCCAACAATGAGAAAATCACTTGCTCACCAATGGATCTTCTGCAGTGAATGGGCGCCTTCGGAATGAGAGTTCAAACAGCTGATAAAAACATCACAATAATCCACAAATAGTCCACATGACTCTAGTCCATCAGTTCATGTCTTGTGAAGTGAAAGCTGTGTGATTGTAAGAAACAAATCTATCATTAAGAAGTTTTAACTTCTGTCACTTCTGTCCAAAATACCTGTCCATAATCCATAAAGGTGCTATATAATAATCCTCCAGTGAAAAAGTCCATCCTCTGTTGTCCTCTTATATCAAAATCAACCAGTTTACAACTGTCTTGGACTGTTATCAAGTAATGTGGATTACTTGTGGATTTTCTTTGTGATGTTTTTTTATCACAAAACGGTTTTGACTCTCATTCTGACGGCACCGATGTACATGTAGACCCATTGTTGAGCAAGTGATCTAATGCTAAATTTCTTCAAATCTGTTGCAATGAAGAAACACTCTCAGGCCATCCATGAAGCAGATGAGTTTAAATAAGTTTGGACATACTTTCAATGAGCCTTGTGACCTTTGTAACAGACGGCTTCCCTTCATCAACTCGTCTAATTTTGGTGATGCCTGGTTCTCCTCCAACCACTTCTTTAATTATGGTGATGCTTGGATCTCCGTTAGTTACTCGTGTAATTTGGACGTTTGGATCTTCTTCAATCACTTGTCTAACTTTGGTGACGCTTGGATCTTCTTCAATCACTCGTCTAACTTTGGTGACGCTCGGATCTTCTTCAATCACTCGTCTAACTTTGGTGACACTCGGACCTTCTTCAATCACTCGTCTAACTTTGGTGACGCTCGGATCTTCTTCAATCACTCGTCTAACTTTGGTGACGCTCGGATCTTCTTCAATCACTCGTCTAACTTTGGTGACGCTTGGACCTTCTTCAATCACTCGTCTAACTTTGGTGACGCTCGGATCTTCTTCAATCACTCGTCTAACTTTGGTGACGCTTGGACCTTCTTCAATCACTCGTCTAACTTTGGTGACGCTCGGATCTTCTTCAATCACTCGTCTAACTTTGGTGACACTCGGACCTTCTTCAATCACTCGTCTAACTTTGGTGACGCTCGGATCTTCTTCAATCACTCGTCTAACTTTGGTAACGCTCGGATCTTCTTCAATCACTCGTCTAACTTTGGTGACACTTGGATCTTCTTCAATCACTTGTGTAACTTCAGTGATGCTTGGTTTTCCTCCAATCACTCGTCTGACTTTGGTGACGTTCGGATCTTCTTCAATCACTTGTGTAACTTTGGTGACGATTGATTCTCCTTTGATCACACGTGTAACTTTGGTGATGCTTGGTTCACCAATCACCACCTTGACATTGGGACCTGAGGGAAAGGTAGAGATCCCATCAGGTGGCATGTCAAGACCATGACATTTCCCAAAATCTTCTCAGTACTTGTGAAAAACAAATGATTTAGAGACATTTTTCTTTTCTTGGCATAAAGCATGACTGTCTTTTTAGATACTATTATGCTGATTAAATTAAAGTTAGTTTTGTTTCCAATGTTTTTGAATCCATTTAGCCATTTCTCCTTGCTGCTTTTACTGATATGAACCACAAGTAAGTCAAAGATGAGAATGGAGGTCTAAGCCAATTATTAATAATCACTGGCGCTGTCAGAGCTGTTAATGAACACCAGGCCGGCCTTTCTTTCTAGACACTGAAACGGGGGTCACGTTTCGTGCTACTGCTGGATTCATAAAACATAAATTTGTATAATCTGCCAAAGATGAGCTAAGACATAGTGCACATGGAAGAACTGGCTGTGGATCAGGATCATAAGGTTTTTGATTGCAGGCTCAGCTCAAATGGTACTTTGTGATTTATGATGGAATTCAAACAGTATGAACAGACTGTATATAAGAAACAACTGTACAAAATAAAACTACATTGCAGACAGTAACCCAAATTAGGGATTGAAGAAGTAAGCAATCGCAATTAAATCATTTTTGTTTAGTTCATAGGTGCTGATAATGCTAATAATTAAAACAGTTGTGCTGCTTAATATTTTTATGGAAACTGTGATTTTTTTATATATTGAAAGAAAGTTCAAAAGAGCAGCATTTATCTGAAATACTAACCTTTTCTAACATTATTAATGTCATTGCTGTGTTTTTTATCATTTTATTCTGTACCTGATGAATATTAAGTATTCATATCTTTCAAAAAATATCCCCAAACTTTTGAATGTTTGTACATACAGTATAATATACACGTTTGACACAATCAACATTTAATCAACTGTTGACCCATTTACTTTGACATGATATTGATTCTACTCTGTGTGGTTTTAAAGACAGATTGGAACCATTGTGACACACAGATCAGTAAATGAATGACACATGCAAATGTTAAACTGTAACAGTAACTTATTAAATTCAGCCGTACAAAGACTCCAAATGATCTGACTTTCATTAGTCCCATCTGTATTTCATTTAGAACTAACTTTGTCATTAAAAAGATCTTTCATGGAAAAAGTTTGTCTATCATTTACAGTGTTGGGCAAGTTACTTCCAAAATGTAATACATTATATATTACTAGTTACTGTCTAAATAAAAGACATAAAATGTACAGAAAAATAATAAATACAAATAAATAAAAAAGCCTAAGTGGGATGATTTTATAAAACCCTTTGAAACATACAGACAAATATAACTTATTAAGAGGACATCTTATTAAGAGGTCATTTCCTTGTTTTGGCTCTGTTAGTGAGATATTTGCGTATAAAGTACATTTACATTTACAGTGCTGATATCTGTTTTCAGCAAAGGAAGTGTCTGGACATTAGGAGACCTATTATTCTTGATTTTTTAGGTAGAGGCGTTTCTGAGCTTTGAGCCGTGTTTGATTGATGCAGTAAACTGTCTGGAAGTTATGACGTTACCGCTGTAGCAATGCTCCAAATACACACACAAAAATGCCCTATGTCATAGACCTTCAGCTATACACAAACACAAAAAGAGAAATGTTCTTAGCCCTAATTAGGATGAGATGATGTATGTTTTTTTATAATCAAGTCAGCTTCATACTCAATGTTAACCTGCTGGTATGTTTCCTGGTAGGATTTACGTGAATGGGCTGGATTTGGTTCATTGAATTTTTTGAGAACAGACACAGGAAATTTGTGCTGCGTCTAATTGCATTGTCTGACGATAACAGCATGTCAGGTCCTTCCTCTCTTGTGCAACCAAAATATTAGTATTGGCTCAAATTTAAAAGTCATTCTTTCAGAGTCTAGAGTTTTATTATGGAGTGTGCAAAGGCCTTTATACATTAATCTTGTAACTGGAAAATCTCATTATGGGACATCTTTATCATAATCACTGTTGGGATAAAGCCGACATTTGAGGACATTTCTACATTTTCACTAATTACAGTGTTTAATCAGATAAAGTTGGTTTGTGCCTAAAAAACCTGACCGATAAAATATCCTATCTTAAAATAACAATCCCAGTGTACTTACAGACAGCACTTGAAGGTTGTGGCCCTGAATGGTCTTGAGAAGATTAGTCACTCCACCCTCCAAGCCTCCATTAATAAAGACACCCTTGCTAAAGTGGTAGAGCAGGATCACCCTGAGGGCGTTGATGTCGCCTGGATAACAGAATAGTCATAATGTCACTGTGAGGAAACAGACCTAGCAAAAGTTGGACATCATCTAAAAAAAAATAGAGAACAAAAGGTTTACTTTTCAGAAGAGTGATGTCTTCCTCTGTCAGGGTGCCAAAGGCAGCATCTACAGGAGCAAAGAGTGTGTATGATCCCTCCTGCTTCAGTAGATCTGTCAGTCCAGCACTCTCCATCAGAGACAGGAAGATTCTGGAATAATTCAGCCAGTCTATGAATTATTTATGCTTGTAATAAATAAAATAAATAAATAAAAAAAAATCTTAATTTTGATGTAATATTTTAATATAATTTTATTTTACATTATAGTATTTTAGAATGCTTTTTGAAAAACATTATATATTTTATTTTAATTATTTTAATGTTAATTGTAATGATTTTAATCACATGCAGACAGTGTCCTGTTAAATTATAATTATTTTTTCACTGTATTTAATAAATTAACTTTTTTACAGTTTAGATAATAAAACACTTGATAATAGTAATCATGTGAAGTCATGATGATAATCTCACTTGAAGCGTCCGTCTTTCAAGAGCAGCTCATAGATGGTTGTCTCGGATGGCTGGATCAGTGATCGCATGAGATGAAGGACTCCGTTACTGCCCTCTCTGCTGCCTCTGACCATACATGCGTTCTCAATACACACAGCCTAAAACACACACATAAAAAAGAGAATAAAATGATAGCTGTGCCTTGGACACTAATACAATACAGTTAGACAAGGACAGCTTTAAGGTCTGTGAACTGAAGAAAATAAAAAAAGAGTATAACATTTAACTGCCTGCACAGTAAACATTTAAAAAGTGCTTGTTTTCACTCATGGAGTTTACACAATAATTGTTTGCAGGTCCTCAATCTTTCACTAATTCTCTTTCTCTAAGTCTTTCTCTCTCACCGTGCGATAAATGAAGACTCGGAGGAGTTTTCCTCCCAGGGTTTCGAGAAGCTGGCCACTGTAGAGGTCACTCAGAGAAACCTTAAGTTTCACAATGTGGTTTTCTAGAATAATCTTCAGGAGACGCTGATCCATGGACATTACCTCATCTGCATGACAGGTGAAGACACTTTAAGTTATGGTGACATTTTAACTGGACTGTGGGACATTTAGAAATGTACCTATATTAACAACAAACTGAAGATACAAATGATACATTTTTCATCTTTTGCAGCCTTATGTTAAAATGCTTTAAAATTATTTTTTGTATCTATCTATCTATCTATCTATCTATCTGTCTGTCTGTCAACTTGCGTTACTGAGATTGTAACGAGTAATAATATTACCCAAATTTGATTAGTAATGCGTTATATTACTGCGTTACAGCAAAAAGTAATATACTACTGTAATATTATTACTTTTGTAATGCGTTACTCCCAACACTGATCATTTACTAATAAATAAGAGTCCCGCTATGGGATTGGGTCTTTTACAGCGTACCCTCGCAAAGCAAAGTCCTATGATTGAAAAAGTTAAATAAAAGGATTTACAGTTTTAGCTATTGTCAGTATTTTGATATTCTATACTATAAATTTAAAGTATTGGATGAACCAATGTTGGGCTCTGACAATTACACATATTAGCTCTACAAAATTGTGGGAGTTTAATTTGATGAAAGGTAGCCAGTGAATGCCTGCTACTGTAGTTTGAGATCCAAAGCTCTGCTTTAAGTCGTAACTCTCAAAAACACTGCCATTACCTAAGCTTTAATCCCTTTTTACCTTCTCAAATACACATTTGAAGCCAAGTTTCCAATAACATCAATTTACATAAATTCCATTTCAATTTTACCATCCTGAACTCTGACATTCACTCCTACCCAACAACACATAGGTCTCCTGCCATGGTCTGAGGCAAAATCCTCTTGTCTCTAATGCCTTTTTATTGGCTGTATCTGTCCAGCGACTGCCAGAGGAGATGCCAGTGCTGGTTCCAGCTAACAGAATAACATGTGCTCGCTCTTCTCTGGGGCTCTATGAAGAATCGGTTTTCTTGAAATGCAGCTGAGGCAAAGTTCAGGCTTGTTGTATTGGATAATGATTGCGTAAATACACAATTAGAGCTCAGCTCAGTATTGCAAATCGAAAAACTGCAAAAACTGAATAAATGCTTATAGATGTAGAAAAGCAGTAAGTGGATGAGAAAATAATGTATACCTTTCTCAATGACATGTGTGGTTATAGTCCTCTCTGCAAGGCGAAACACAATATTCCTTAATAAAAAGCATGTCCAATGTAATCCATATGCTATGTTATGTGGAACATAAAAAGAGAAATGGGGGATGAAACTGAACTTACTGATAAATGTAAGTGGAATCTCATGATAGGTGTATCCAGATACAAACTACACACAAACCAAAGCAAAAAATAGAACAAACTGATAAAACTGGTATGTGTGTTTGTTCGGTGATGTACTGAACTGTAATGGATGTTATATAATGTGAGTCAATGTTCAGATATGATGTGTGTTCTGCTGTACCTTCAGCTGCATGTATTTGATGAGTCTCCTCAGCAGAATCAATATGTCTTCACGGCCAACTGGCAGATCTGTGAAATGCAGTAAAATTCTTTATTAAGCTCTAGGGGACTGTGTCTTATGGCTCAGGAATTGTACAGTTATATAAAAGGGGGAAAACCAGGTATATTGAAGATAAAGACCATCTATGCAATTGATTTTGATGGTAAACGTCCCTTTAAATAATGACATTTGAAACATATATTCACATATAGCCCATGCTCATTGCTGTTAATAATTCACCTTGAGGATATAATATGGTCTTCACTACATGAATTGTACCTATATTAACAACAAACTGAAGATACAAATGATACATTTTTCATCTTTTGCAGCCTTATGTTAAAATGCTTTAAAATTATTTTTTGTATCTATCTATCTATCTATCTATCTATCTGTCTGTCTGTCTGTCTGTGTGAGTGAGTGAGTGCGTGTTTGTCTCTGTATTACATTATGATTTCATTTACATTTTTAGAAATTATATATTATGATTTCATTTACATTTTTTGAAATTATATATAAATATAATATAATGAATATAATAATATATAAACATAAATTATTAAAAATAACATCAAATTAATAAAATAATTTTTAATTAATTAATGATTAATTATTGTAATTATACAGTTATGATGATATTTATTTATACATTCATTTATGCATATATTTTTTGTAAAAAAAAAAAAAAAAAGTGCATAGTAACATTTGAAATATTTCTCATTAGTTTATTCAGGCCTCCTCCAAAAGAAAAACAAAAACTGAAAAACAGACTCCTGGTGAGCGCTCACAGTTATCTCAGCAGAAACATCCTGTATTTTGCTCATAGAGTCATGAGGTCAGCTCACCAGAGAAGGCTCCATTCAGTGGTGCAAGAATAGTATACTCAGTCTCAGGCTGCATGGCGGCAGACAGGCCGAGTTCAGACACCATGTCACTGAAGACGCTCTGAGATTTTCCTATAAGCTCCATCACCTGCTTGGCTGCAAGACAAGACACACACTTATCACAACTTTAAATGATTTAGATGTTATATCAGTGACAATAAATTTGTATCTTTTAATATATACAAATGTACGACATAAGGATGTAAAAATAAAGTCAGGCTGAACCCAGTGGGCAGGTACAGAGTCTCACCTGAGTCAGGCATGAGCATCTGGTCGATCAGATGAATGACCCCATTGCTGGTGACAATGTCCTTCTTCAGCACCATCTTGATACCATTGACTGTAAGGCTCTCGCCATCACATCCGATCTCAATATTACTGCCCTCAAGAGTCCCATAGATGGAGCCCGCCATAATGGCCTCAGAGCACTGCACTGAGTTCAGGAGGTGGTACTTCAAAAGGGCTTGAAAAATAAACAGATGAAGAGAGATGGAGAAAGTTTAAGCGACAGATCGAACGATAAACAGTGCGCTGACCTGAACTGTTGAGATGTCTTTATCGTCACAGTCCAGTAAGCATCAAGATATAGACCACTAGACAGAGACAATAAAAAAAACAGAAGCTCATGTTGTCCAATGGGACACCCGCCCAGTTCTTCCTGTGCGGAGGCAATGTGGTGGAGAGCTGAGACTCTTACATCAACTGTGATATCACTTTCCCAGCAGCTGAGCTTATTTCGCCAATTTCCTGCATCTGTTTAAGCTGTACATATATGTGCAGTCTGACAACTTTAAGTGCTTTGCCAAACCAAAATCCAAATCAAAACAACCTTCTTAAGACAGGTCCTATTCATCTACACTTCTAAACTTTACCACATGGGCTATTGGGTAACAGTCAGCTGTGGCATGCATCGTGGTACTCTCGTGAACGTGTGTTAAAGACTGACACGGAAGAGACGAAATTGTTGAATAAAGTCGTTATATTTGTTTTCTTTGTGCACAAAAAAGTATTCCCGTAGCTTCATAACTTTACGCTTGAACCACTGATGTCACATGGACTATTTTAACAATGTCCTTACTACCTTTCTGGGCCTTCAACATGTCAGTTGCTTCACTGTCTATGCAGGGTCAAAAAGCTCTCAGATTTCATCAAAAATATCTTAATTTGTGTTCCGAAGATGAACGAAGATCTTACGGGTTTGGAACGACATGAAGGTGAGTAATTAATAACAGAATTACTACCAATTACTGTATGACAGACATTTTTGGGTGAACTGTCCCTTTAATTGAGATTGCATTTCCCCCTTATTAATATAGATGTGCATATAATGATCCTAAATGTGAACCTACAACAGATTCGAAATATTCCTAAACAATTTATAAAACGTCTGTATAGACAAAAATGTTCTTAAATGCATCTCTCTTTTTAAATTTCCACTTCATCTTAAATTCAAGCGCATATATTATTACTAGTGCTGGGCAACGCTTAATCGCGATTAATAGCATCCAAAATATAAGTTTTTGTTTATATAATATATGTGTATGTGCTGTGTATATTTATTATGCATATATAAAGACACACACATTTTGAAAATATTTACATGTATTTACATGTATATATTTATATTCATATAATTTATATTATATAAAAATATATTTAATATATAAACATAACATATTTTTCTTAAATATATACATGCATGTGTGTGTATTTATATATACATAATAAATATACACAGTACACACACATATATTATGTACACAAAAACTTTTATTTTGGATGCGATTAATCGCGATTAATTGTTGCCCGGCACTAATTATTACTAGAATTATTATTTTCAGTAAATAATTAACATAAATGCATTCATTTCAGTGACGTAATAATTAAAAAGCAGTTGAAATGTTGCTCAATTGTGCATAATATGAGGCCCTGGGTTCCCACATTCCTAGAAAACTTGGATATATGCGAGAATTTTAAAAGCATGATTTCTAGACATGAAAAAGTGATGGAAATTAATACATTTAATAAAATCATAAGAGGCTATTTCTATATTGACTATATAATTTTGTCAAGCTCTAAAATATTTTATTGGAAGTACTGTTTGTGACTAAAAATTTTTTTTAAAAACACAAATTTATCCTGTAATCTCAAATGTGAAGAGCATGAACCCTTCTTGAAACAGTTCTTAAAACTTCTGGAATTAATTTCATTATTAAGATATTGCCACTCCTATAGTTTCTGTAAACAAAAAAGTTTGGAAATAAGTTTTGTCATTACAGCAGAAGTACCAGAAATACCCTGGCCTAAATGGAGGGCTTTTGATTATTGTCTTGGAAAGTCGGGCCTTGGAGTCAAAAAGGTTGAGAACCACTGCTAGGGTCCTGTGGACATCATGTACACATGCGAGCAAAGTCCACAAGACCACAGGTCCACATCAAGTGAGCCATTTGGACAGGGCCACAGATCCTGTAAGAGCCAGAAGTGATGTAATGCTGACTTTATACATTTGTGTGGTCTTTCCCTTATAGCCTAAAATGAGGCATGCTAAAAAATCGAATTTAAGTAGACAAAATACACAAGAAAATCACTCGGTGTGCCGTAGGCCTTTAAACCAGAACCCTGATGCCTGATCTGCTCTAATGATTTGCTTTTTTCACACAGCATTTACATAAGTGAGATCTTGAGATAATTGCCCTCAGAAGAACTGAATGTTTACTTCAAAGCTAGTCTTTGCTTTTGAATATAGGTGGGGGTTGATAAATAAAGCAATCCCATGGCACACTGAAGCACTGAAGTAGCATACAGGGGAAAAAGATAGAAAGGGGAAAAATCAACAATTAAACACTGCGTCGTCAGTGTTGGAATTGTATCAGACATTTGCACTTAACATTATATGAAAATCAAGCTCAAGTGGAGTTAACAAGGTTTTTGACCAGCGAATGACGGAGATCTGTGTTTTGTCTGTCAATATAACGGCCGCATCTGATCAAGTGCATCGCATTACGCTTTCATCAACTTTTACAGGTTATATAACGTTTATTGTAGCTATATGGGTGCTTAGTTTTTCTTGTTGTTTAATACACTAGGCCAAAATCTCATGATATAAATGATGAAGCGCGATATGCACAGGATATTTAAAACGTACAAAAAGTATATTGGCTACAACTACATGGCAAATAGCCTACTTCTTCTCCACTCTTCAAACACACAAAAACATTAGCCTTTAAAGACATAGTGTTTGAGTAAAGAAAACGCGGTACTATTCAAACGTCAGTTATTTATTTAACGTTACCCTTGCATTGCAAAAAAGCGCTGTCTCCTCCTGTGCGCGGCGCGTCAATCTGAATGGAGGCGGGGTGAAGTTATGAGGTTTCGCTGACAGTTTGAGGATCCAATGGCGTTATGAAGTTTTATTATTGGTTAAATATTTGTAAAAACCCTATGATTTAAAATAATAATAACTAAATATAATAGAGATATTAAGTTTGGATCATTTTTCATGGCACACCTGACTGGGCTAGGGTATGG